ACCCAAGAATTTTTTTTTGTTACTTCACGTTTAATTAACCCTAGACATAGGTTCTGTAAGTTTGTGCTCCAAGGCAAGAGAAGGTGAGTGGATAGGGCAAGCTCTTCCCTGTCTCTGGTGAAACCTATTAAAACATTCTACTCGTAACAAGTATTAGGCTGAGAAATTCCTGACACTTGGGTGACAGGTTATAAAGTATATTTAATGCTGTCCCTTTATCATTCCATATTATGTTCCTTCCATTGGTTATCAGAGAAAAAAGCTTCAGCAATATCTAGGTTTTAGAAGAATTCAGACTACTAAAATTCAAGAGGACCCTTACAGGAAGGATAGAATCACGTATTTGCACCTACCTAAGGCCACCATATAACCTTCAAAGTTGTCATTGCTGACAAGGTTCCAGGTCCCATTGAAATCCACAGGCATTGCAAGACTGGAAGGGAAGATGCAGTCGACCTCTGGCCAAAAATCAAAAATGAAGAAATAGTTTTCCAACCAGGCCTTATGTAAGGAACACTGTGGGTGGGATTACATCCTGGAGCCTCAGTAATGGAGTGAAAGGGTCTTTTGCTGAGCCAATAGGCAAGAGGGTGTACATCAGCTGTAGCTGCATTGGAGGGAAAAGTTCACAGTTACTGAAATCCTTCTGTGGAGCAAATGTTAATAGCCCAAGAGTTGCAGTGCTAACCAAGAACTGGTTTGAGGAACTGGTCCCTCTTGCATACTGTAAAGGGAATCATGGACAAATTTTGCCATTACTAAAAGTCCCTGTATGTATATTAGTCTTTATGATCTGAAATATACATGCATGTTGAAAAGGTGATCTACCCACTGAAATACATGCTGTATTTTGTATTTGAACAGACAGGGATTGACTGTTTAGCTCTGGGTGGTATTGTATCAGCAAATTTTAAAGAAGTACCTCTGACACAGTAATGGAGACAAGCATTTTATCTTGTTGGTTTTTGTCTGGAGTGAATAGTAGGCAGCATCACTATTTAGTGCTTATAACAGAAAAGTGACACACAAATCCTGTTTGTGTATGTTATTCTCTGATGTGACTCTCAACACGGCTTTGCTATGCCATGGTTTACCTATTTGTGTTCTGATTTCTTTAATTTTCTTTAATGCTGTTAGTTATATCCTAGTTGAATATAGACATTAAAAATTCTTTATTTTCTCAGATGCTTTACCAGGCAGAAAGTTAACAGTGCTTAACTGTGTAACAGTTAAGCATGAGACAGCAGATCCAGAGGCCTGAGCTCTGTTTCCAGTTCTGCAGCTTTGTATTTATGTTTTCCTAGATGGGAAAGAGGACAAATACCTCTTCATGCAATCCACTTTCTGCTCCTAAAAATAACCAATAACAGTAGCAAATTCAAAAGTTACTCTTGTGTATATTGAAGAGGTACCCTCCCCCCTTTGCTTTTTATTCTTGAAACACACAGTAAAGGAAAGATGATACAGAAGTTATTCCCACTGGTGCATTATTAGATCCTATATCGCATACAGGGAGTCGAACACAGGATGCAGCAGGTAAGCTTCATTTTTGGACTTCTATCTTCAGCAAAGAAGTGAAAGAAATCTCCTAAGTGATGACCCAGCAAAGTGTTTGGAAAAGTGAATAAAGAATGCTTGACTTCAAACAGAAAGGATATATAAGAAACTGGGGGGGGACGATTTTTTTTCCTTGAGAGGATACGTAATTTTCCAATCTCTTGCTGTTCCTCCTGCAAATCATCTGTAGTTATTTTGCAAGCTGTATGCCTTATTGTTACAACGTACCAAGTGAGAGATATAAATTTCATAATGCTGAACAAGTAGGCACTCCAGACTTGACAAGTACAGGACAGGTAGATGACTTCATAGCTCAGTTTCCTCATCAGTAAGATGGGGAAAAGAATAATTCCTCAAGTCACACGTATGCTCTGAGCTTTAGCTTAATCCCACGTTTCAAGTGGTCACATGGAACAACAATGAGCACCACAGTGAAGGCTACATTAAAATAAAACCCCAAAATTGATGGGCAAGGGAAATCGTAACTGTATTGCTACCACAGTAAAAGGGGATTTGCTATTCTGAATCTTGAATGAAGAAACTCGCCTATAGCTACAACATTTATATGCTTACTGAGTCATGTTAGGCTGAATAAAACGATAACATTTTGCAGAGAAAATTACATTTCCCTGAACTTTAGCTACATTTTGGGGGCTGACAGTTTGACCTATATGACTCACAGATCCCGCTAGTAGGAAATTAGGACGTCAACGCTTGTTTCCTGTTTGCAGATGGACATTGTTCTCTATCCTATACTAAGCTAGGAATAGCACAGACAAATGATAATTACTGTTTTCCTGGACTCAAATAGTAACATTTCACCCATAATTTGTTATTACAGTAGTAGTATGGTAGTAAAGCACTGTTGCAATGACTCTTCCAAGTAAAGAGAAGTCAGTCCTTGAATGAGGCCTGTGTAAAAGCCTGGATGTAACATTTTAATTGAAAGTTAAAATGATGCAGATTGTCTGGCATATGGTGCTTCTTTCTGGAGATCAGTACTTAATCTCAAACTAAGACTTACAAAGGCTACCAGGGTTACTATTTCAAGGCTCAGCCAACGAATTGCCTATGGAATGTTTCATAAGAACTGACACGTGCCCTGGTTGTCACAGGATGGTTCATTTCTTTCTCCATTAAAGTCCCCAGTTTTCAGTTTGTGGAAAGTATTTTCTTCCACCTTCATTGCTGTGCAGCATTGAGCATCTAACACATTCCATTAAGGCTGTGCCCTTATTTCAGAAGTAGATGAAGTATTTATTAATACCACTGCAGTATTTATAATATATTTTGCATTATAACTCTTTTATAAGGAAGTTCAGTGAACTGGATTATTCACAAACTCGACGTTTTCAAGTATATAGATTCTCTTGCAGATCTAGTGCACTCTTTAAAGTCATAGCTAACATTTCTGAATATGCCAGATCACTGTGATGCTGATTTTAATAACTGAACACAGTGTGAGGTTACTTCCAGTGCTTAACAGGCAGGTTTCTGGATGCCACGAGTAAAATAAAAGATCAATATTCAGCAGTCAGTGTTATTTTTGAACAATGTTCTGTTTTGTATATACAAAACTGTACTGACACCATTCTACCTACTTAAAAATCACGTAGTCATCAGACATCAGATTTGGTTAATAACAGCATGACTAAAATTAGTGTATTACATGCAGTTTATTGAAAGACCCATCACACATAACTACATTAAAACCCAGTGAAATGTAATTGTTTGAAGACCCAAGCTTTATAAAACATCCTATTAAATTTGCAGTTTCTCTAGAATTACACAACGTGCACCAACACACAACAACATCATTATTTAGGAGAATAAACCTAGATTTAAAGTGCAGTTTTACTCTGAAAAGTGACCACATCAATCGGGTGCTTTCTTATTAGAAAGATGTGCTCTGAAGTTATTCAGAAGCACACTGGTTGACTTGAGTGCTGAAAATAAATCTTTCTTGCCCTCTATTCTTGTCAGTCATAAAGACAGACAGCAAGCGAGAAAAGTGGATCTCATGCTTTCCTACACACCATCAATAATGTCGTTATCTTCAACCAGTTACGGCAGTTTGATTGCTAAGGTGTTGCAGGGGGCATGATTTACCTTTCAGTACCTTTATTACTACTGATGATAAACAAACCCAGCCTCATTATGAAAGGACAGTGTAAGCTTGCCTCAACTCTAGGGGACAAATGGCTGGGTGCATTTGATGCAGGAATCATCAAGAAAAACAAAACAAAATAATCCTTGATGGTATTTTCTGTCACAGTGCAGCTACAGATGCACTTCTAAGTTGTGATCTGATATTATGCCAGTCTCCCTGTTAATTCTCTGTAGACAGCCATCTCTACAGGTCAGAGCTAGAACACAGATGTTCTAGTGTATGGTAATTGTGCAGAATTTCATGTGGGGCTCCAGGTCTGCATGCCCACTGCTAGCTCCACTAGGGGTTACAGGTTTTCCCAATAGTGTCTTGACTCCCCTCCTGGGTTTTATGAGAGCCTCACAGGACCCAGGACTGCCTGTGATGTTCTGTGTTTTGCTTCTGGCTTCCACACTCCAACTAAGCTCCTAGAGATGCCAAGACTGCTCCCTCAGTTCTTTGAGGATCCTCTGCCCAGGGGAGGAGGATGACAGGTTGTCACAGTTATGTTCTTAGAACATGTCCCTGGTTCTAGGTTTCCTGCCCCGAGAATCTCCCATTGGATTTGGTGATCTGAAAAATGTGAACAGTCGTCTTGTGGAGATTGTATGAAAAAGCTGTTGACCCATTAGGGAGCATCTTGGAAACCTTGACATTTTTTATAAGACATGTAATCAAAACACAAAAGGGATGACAGCAAATAAAGGGAGTTAGAATTCTATGACCATGACATCCACAATGCTTCTCTAGTTTATATTCACGTAATACAGACAATATACCAGTAGATTCAAAACCAGATATCTAGCAAAGAAAACCATTTCATTTATTCACAGTCTTGATATCCTACCATTTCTTTTCAACTCCAGTTACAGAAATTCTGGCTATATACATTTGGCTCAAAAGTGAAAGCTCATTTATTATTTGAAATAAATGGAGAACTGTCTGAGAATCAGTGCAATGACATTATTGCTAATTTCTAGCCATTAAATCAATGGCCACAAGCCAATTTCTCAAGTGGGTCTGTCCTTCTATGAGAACATTGCTGAGCTTAAAGTACAGCTTTGGAAACATGAATGAAGTAAAGCACAAGGCATTTCTGAGAGCAAATTGCACAACAGCAGACAAACAGGCTGTGTATCTGAAAGGCAGGCAGCTCAAAGCATGGTGTATCTAGCACCACTTCAGCCAGGAGTAACTTTTTCCTTCCAGCATTGAGCTAGTTTCTTTGAGGTGTACATGTTGGCAATGTCTTAAAAAATTAAACAGATTTCCTGACAGTAAGTAGTACATTTTGAAATAGTGGAAGTTGTTAAGAATTAGACTCACAGTGGTCTGAGTTAAAACCAATCAAAACATTCTTCTTTGGTTGGTTTGTTAATCTGTAATTTTCATAAGGAAGTGTGAATTCTTGTATTGAGTTCACTGCACTGTGACACGTTATACGTGAAAATCTGACTGGATTTAAAAAAGATTATGTAGGTCCAATTATTGAGTGCACCAAACCTCAACAGCAACTACATGTGTAATAAAGCCACAGAATTAGCCTGCTCTTTACTTTAAAAAAACACGAACAAAAAACCTAACCCTTAAAAAACATGCTTTCCTGTACCAAACTGTAGCGCTTTTTTCACAGCAGAATGTTGTATAGTGCCTATTAGTTGTTAGTTCTTGGAATCCCTCGCATTCTTCTGCAAGGGAGCCAAGACAACCCCAGCATTCCTGTCTTCACTCTCTGGACTATACAGGTTATGCTTTTCTATGTATGCTTGAACTGCATCAGGCACTAGGTAACGAATGCTCTGGCCCCTCCGCAGTGCTCTCCTAATCTTGGTGGAGGAAATGTCATTTGTGATCCATTCTTCCACAAGGTGAATGTTATTCTTATGTCTCCACAAAATATCAGACTCATAGATGAACTTCTGAACGTTGTTGCCAGCTCTACTGATGCATACAAGGCCATGAGTTTCCACAATTTCAGTGATGTCCTCCAACTTCCACAGATTGGGGATCCCAAAAGACTCCAGCATGTCACTTCCACAAAGCAGTTTAAGCTGTGGGGCACCTTAAAGAGAAAAATAAGTGAGAAATGGGGCTTTGTTTAGGCCACCAGATTTTAGCTAACTTGATGGGGACATTTAATTTCTAGGCTACCTTTAATCTTTGGTTAATATGAGAGAATGGAATGAAACAAAAAGACTCCCGAGTATATAATTTATAATAAGTAGCCTTAATACAGGATTTTTCTGGGCCAAAAAAAGTTATGATAGTCCCTTCATCCAAAAGGACTGGAAAATAGCCTCTGAAAGTGCTATACATTTTACCGTTAAAGTTATCTTCTTACAAAGCTTACTGCTGTATGTTGTAGGATCAAAGAGAAATCAGAACCAACAACTAGCATTAAAAAAAGCTACTCATCAGCACAACTCCCTTGAAATAGCAAGTATTGTTAAGCATTTAATTTCCAAACAGACTTAACTTTTTATATCTGGACTCTGATTTTTCTTTTTAATGGGCTCATGCCTATTTGGTTCTTGCTTCCTCTTCCGTCCTGCCTTTGTTACAGGTATAGCATTCTGCAGGCTGTTTGTGGGATCAGGAGATAAAAGCTTTTGTTGATGGTACCTGCAAAACAGATGTATTTTAGGTATTTTAAAGATGCAGGAGAATAAAGGCAAGAGTATGGTCTACTCAATGATCTGTTGCTGCTTCCCCCTGCAGAACTTTCACATCCAAGAACCTATCTACTGGAACAGGGACTTGAGAGAACTGGATCATAAGATAGTCAAAGTGGAAAGATTTCAAAGCAACTACTACAAGGTTGGTTATTTCCTTTTTTAATAACAATTCATTTTCAAAAGAACCTCAGTGACTGAAAGAGTAAAAAAACCTCAAACTCAAAAAAGATACTCCTTCAGACAGTTCTCATGCCAGCCCTGAAATACAGAAATGGGCAGCAGAGCACAATCAGAATCAAACGAGGGAAGCTTGCACAGCATGTGTCTACCCCGTTCTAGTCTTTTATCCTTCCTTGTGAATACCTTTTCAGCACAAAAACTGATTTAAGCCAAAGAAACAATATATCTTAAAATACTATGCAAGGTTCATTTTGTGTATGTTTAGGACTAATGGTGTAATCTTTCATTTACAATGGTCATATAAATAGTACTTCTAGATTTCCCGAGTCTATTCATATGATTTGGGCTTAGCCTGTTATTATTCTAACTTAGAGCTAACACCACTGCTTTTCCTTCTATAGGCTCTTGAGACTTTTTAGGGTTTGGCTGAAGAATACCTTAAAACTTTTAGTGTTTCCAACCACTCATTCTGGCTGCTTTCCCAATCATCAACTTCCACCCAATCAGAGTTTTTTGTAGCTAGTTTTGCCATAGCTACTCGGTGATCTGCACTGATCAGACCTTTCTTCTTATACGCATCACCAACTGGTGAGATTATTCCTTTGGTGACTTTGTATTTTCCTGTGGAAAAAACACGTAACATTAGAACATGAAAAGTGGTTGAGCAGATGTTACTTCCACTGTATTGTATTTAAACTATTACTCACTGCAACGTCTTAAAAACACCAGGGCCAGCTCTGACAGCTAGTCCAGTGGAAAAGTACAGTACACTTCTGCCAGTGTGCACGGCAGCACAATTAAATATATAGTAAAACATATTAGAAAGACATATTTTAATAAAGAAAAAACTATAAAATTCATTAAATTAATAAGCAACAGATCTATAAGGATGTCTCATGTATTTGGCCTACATGATTTTGCATGATACGTACACGCATACTAGCTTCAATATCTGTTTCCAAAAATAGTTACTACAGCTGTTCTGAATGCTAAATTACCATCCTACCTGTTTCATGGAAGTAGTCTTTAGCTAGCTCAAATAGCCGTAGGTGCATGTTGGTAATGGGGTTGAAGGACCCGCAGGCTAGCAGTACTACTTCAGTCTTCTTCTCGGGGTCTTCCATAGCAGTTTCTCACAGCTGCAGAGTCAAGTGGGGAATGCTAATGCTAGTTTCCAGCTGCTACAAGAAGAGATGGGATTTAAAAAAGTTATTCGTACTTATTTGTGCTGCCAATAAGCATAAGAGCTCAAGATCAGATTGAACACTGTCTTTTCCTTCCATCAACATTTGGCCTGTGATTGTCTGTGTGATACTGCATGATCCAGTTTCTGAGACTAAAACCATGGCTTCTAGTTCTTTCTGGTTATCCCAGGATAGAGCTACAAAGCCAGGAGCTGAGACAACAGTGGCACTTTGTTGCTGAAAGGAGGATAATTCTTCTGCGGGGCTTTAGAAATCAAGAATGTAGAGGAAAGTGAGTGTGCTAGGAAGAAGACGTATGTACTTGCAGCTGCAATTCCCTCCTATATGCAAAAAGAAACATCTTAAAACTGAAATTACTGAAAACAGGCTGCTTGCCAAAAGAGAGGACAGCAGAAGAGCAGCTCATGCACAAAACCTTCATGAGTAGAGATAATTTGTCCTGATTGCAGGCCAAACTTGATTAGAACTTTGCTGGTTATTTAAGATGCCAATGCCAATCAACTTCATTACTTCTAGCGCTTGGGGGGAAGAGGAGGGGGAAGAAGAACCTGTCACAGTTCCCAGTGCTGCTACTCTAAGCTGCAGTGAGTCTTTCCAGCAAAATCTGTAAATGTAACATTAAGTTCCAGAGGAGAGGAGGGTTAGCAGGTCTTCATTTGGGATTTATTTAGATATTACATGTTCATGGTATGTGGGGAGAGAGTGCTCTGGCCTAAACATGGAAACATCCAATCTACTTTGTGTTCCAGGAAGTAAGTGGCAGGTGTACCAGTGGAACAGATGATAAAAAACACTGAATTTTAAGTTTAGTAAAAGCTGCAGTTAAATACCAGCTTTTCTTTCCTTTTTTCAAATACAACAGCACTGATCCAACTTTGAACTTTGCTTTCAGAAAGCTGCTTAAGAATTGGTGAAAATAAGAAAATTTCACTACTTTTTCATTTCTCCTCACACGACATGGATTTTTGCTTCTCGGTGTTCTTTCATGAGTATATTCTGGCTTGTCCAGAGAGCTTCCCTTAGACTGGCCCTACACAAATGAAAACTGGAATATATTACAGGCCATCCTCCTGCTGTGGCTGTTCGTGAGATGTCCGAGACGTCTGTGTTGAGCACGAATAGTCTGCTGTTGTTTCTACAGCAACACCACAGCCTGGAAAAATCCCACAAGGTCACCCTCACGTTCTATCTCCTTTACAAAGAGGCTGAGTGATGTTCGCAGCCACCACAGCAGTAAGATGTCATCACAGCTAACCTTGTACCAGCTAGTATGACCCAACATCAAACAGCCCTTGCATGAAAGAGTCTTGCAAGGCTTCATGTTTTGCAGGTGTTAGTACTTTTCTGGGCTTTCAAGTTTTACAGACCTTAGAAATATTCTTTATTACTGCAGAGTAGTTTGGCATTTGAAGAGTTGGCGTTCCTTGGAGTGCAGCCTTCATGGGGCACAGGCTAGGAGAGTTACTATGGGAACAGACAGGGAAAGGAGTTAGATTTGCCTTTGTCTAAAGCCCCAGTTTCTAAAGAAAGTGCCTCATGCTGCAAATCTGAAGAGGGTTGTTTTTTTCCTTAAAAAAGTAAGGGCAAAAAGAGTAGAAAATTTGAGCTGGAAATCTGTAGTGCCTTTTCTGGCATTGGCCAGGTGTCCTTTCTGATGCTGCTACAGACTCTTCAGAAACAGGCAATTATCGTATCATGAACTCATCTTGTAGCGCTTCAGATCTACATAGAAGTTACAAACATGATTTAGTAGCTTGCCCACAGCCTCAGGCTCCTCATTCACAGTGACCTCCTCTGTTCAGCACTGGTTTCACATTATCATACACGATGTTATGTCATCCTCATAACTAACACAGCTCTGTCAGAGCTGGGATCTGCTTTTGGTGGAATAACCTTCATGTAGCTCTAAATTCTGGGGAAAAGCTATGCAATTTGCACATTCCCCGGGAGAAAAGGACAAGGTCCCAGTGGTGACTGAGTCCCAGCCACTGCTTGAAGCTATGCCTCTTCTTATTGTATAGTAACATGAGTAGTTTTGATGAATTAAGTGTGATTTGGCACTGCCTGACACAAATCTAGTTATCACAGTTTGAGTACGAGATTCAAACTAGAGTGCAGTTTCTGCTATACAGAGATCTGTATAGGCATTTAGTGCCACAGCTGAGAACAATCTTGAAATAATTAACACTATCTTATGCTAAATACTAAATGAAAGTGGTCTTCACTGATTCTCCATGCATGTAGGGAATCCCGGGTCCTTTTCCCTTCTTCAGAAGCAAAAATGAGGTGCCCTCTGATGTACTCCTGTGCTTATATACTATCTCATCATGCTTATGTGTGTACCACTTGCAGTCTTGCTGGTGCTTAGCTAAGTTGAACAAGTATTTTGCCCTAAAAACCATCCACGTAAACCATCCAGCAGTAGGTTTGGGGATGGTACAGAACCCAGCCTGTTGGCTTTTGTGGATAAGCAGCCAATTATAAGCATACTTTGGTCAATCTCCTTGGTATTTGGGAGGTAAATCGTTATTAAACATGTTTATATGGCTGTAGAATTTAAGCACATCGACTTAGCAGCTCTCCACGCCAACCGCTCCCGCTTTCCGTCCGTTCCTCCCCGCAGCTCCGCGCCACCAGCGCCTTACACGCGGCACTGCCCCGACCCCGCCGCCGTCCCCGCTGTCCCCGCTTACCGCCCGCGGCCGCGCCGGCAGCTCCGCGCAGAGGGGCCGCACCGGGCGGTGCGGTAGCGGCGCTCTCCGATTGGCTCGAGTGCGGCGGCGGCGCGCTCTGATTGGCTCGAGTGCGACGGCGGCGCGCTCCGATTGGCTCCGCCGCTCCGGAAGCGGCGCTTGTCGGACGAGGCCCGCTCCGCCGGGGTTTGCGTTGCGCCCGTGCTATCGGTCCCGCCTGCCGCGGCCTGCCCCAGGTGAGGCGCGGGGGGCCCGGGCGGTGGGTAGGGGTTGTGTGGCTCCGAGGTGACCGGTAGCGGCTTCCTTCCTTGGCCTGTGGCTCTGCCCGCAGAAGCGAGTCCGGCGCGGACTCGTCCCTGCGACCGCCGGGCGCGAAAGAGGAAGAACCGGGCGGGAGCCTGGCCTTGAGGGGAGGCGGGCAGGGCTCGGGTAGCGCCGAGATTCCTCCTTCTCGGTCCTCCTCCCCCAGCCCTGTTGGCTCCTCTCTTTCTTGTGTGGCTACCGGCGCCGCTGGCCTTGGTGCAGACCCTCAGACCTCGCAGGACCAAGGACCACGACAGGTGTCCCGTGGGGACTGCTCCTGTTTGATACTCGGAGAAGCATAGGTCAGAAACAGATCTTCTCCAGAGCGCTCGTTTTCCACAGCCTGTGATTCGAAGGCGTTTGCCCTTTTCAGACACCTGCATCTGGGTTGTTGTCTCTTAAACAGTTTCCCAAGGGGCTGCTGAACAGTAAAATCTGTTCATAGAGTGGGGCCTCTGCGTTTCAGTAATTGATGCTTGGTTTGAAACAGGTTTGGTTTTATGCACTGTGGTTATTTGATTCTTACTACTGAGATAACAGTCCTGTAGACCTAGCCAAACACCCTTGTATTTCCACTGCAAGAATCTCCCAAATGTGTTGATTAGACATTCCATCAAAATAAGGTTTGAGTTGTTGGTACACAACGTTCTTTCTCCTAGGAGTGTCATGTAACAGCTTGGAATTTTCACCTGAAAACAGAAAATGGCTTCAAGAGGAGCAACAGAGACGAGTAAGCTCAAACAAAACTTGGAAGAGCAGTTGGATAGGTTAATGCAGCAGCTTCAAGATCTGGATGAATGTAGGTAAGAAACACGGATTCTTTCCTCTTATGTGGTGATCTTTCTCCTTAAGTGGTTGGCAGCAGAAATTGGTACCTTTCAAAACTTGTGGGGTTTTGTTTTATTTTCTGTTTTGCTGTGGCTTTATATTTTGATAATGAGGTAAACATTTTAAAATGTTTGTGTTTGGTAGTAAAAATAAGTCTAACACCCGTTTTTTATTATTAAGATTATTCTGTTTAGCATCTCCTTGAGGGAAGTGTGGGCAGAAATACTTGTTGCTGTTTTTACTGAGAGTCAGTGGGACTTTTTAACTTATAACAGGTCTTCACAGAATTCACAGTTTTCATATGGGCTTTTTTAATAGCAGTTAACAAATAGCTCTTGTGTCTTTTTTGTTTGTTTGTTTTATAATTATGGATGTTTCAATCTGGGTTTGTGTGGGGTTTTTGGTCTAACATTTTCTGTGATTTGTGTCCAAGCAGTACCTGTTTTTTTCCAAGATAATTATAACTGCTAAGGGTTGGTAGTGCCGTTCTTTTGGGCAAGGTTTAGACAGAAGTATCTGTTATTCCTGAGTAACTTGATGGGCTTGGGTTGAGGAGATGCATTCACTATAGCTTTGAGCAAGACAGTCTCACTGCATGTTTTTGTTGAGATCCAAAATACCCTTTTAAATACTGCACCAAGTGTTGAGTATCTTGTAGTTCTCAGGGCCTTCTTCATACAGGTGACTTCATGCAAACAATACACGTGCATGGGTGGCTGGGAGGTGGCGGACAGCCAAGAAAACTACATGTGCATTAGCTAAATAATACCTAAGAGGGCTGGAGCAGGATGATCTGAAGTGATGTGAATGTTTTCATTGCTGTCTGAGGAAGCAAGCTCGTGGTATTACCTGATGTCCTTTTCTCCATGTTACATCTTGGGTTTAATCCTATGAATAAATGTGCCTTGTTGGATCCTCTTTAGAGAGGAGCTGGATGCAGATGAGTATGAAGAGACCAAAAAAGAAACTTTGGAACAGCTGAGTGAGATCAATGACTCCCTGAAGAAGATTATGTCTGGAGATATGACTTTGGTGGATGAGCTCAGTGGGATGCAACTGGTAAGGATGATGTCTTCCATCTTCTGCCTGGACTCAGTGAAACATAACATAGATGCAAGTGGTTCATTATAATTACTAGAGAGGCACATGTGACAACTAGCTCTAGGTATCTAATATTTTTATTATTTAATATATGCATACATATTAAAAGTTTGAAAGGTCTCTTCATTTTAAAAGGAAAAAAATGTAGAATTATAACCATAACACTATAGAAAAAACTGTGGGAAATTGCAGGGACTAAATAAATCCAACTCTTAAGATTAGAAAATAACATAAAATAGTACAAATTAATACTAAAGGTGTGAGGGACAAGCCAGGACAAGTTACATCATGAGAAACAAAGATCATGCCTGCTTGTTAGAAAGCATAGAGACAGCATTACCTGTGCTTTTACTGCTGATGTGTGTTTCAGATCTGCACCAGTCAAAAAGTAAAGGTTGTAGGAGTGACTGTGACTTTATATTTTTTCAGTGAATTGAGCTTCTTTTATGTCAGTTTCCAAACTTTTGATCTATTTTCTCACCTTTGGAATGTTTAATTAGAGCACTGTTTGTTCCTTCTGAGCCCTGTGGTTTAGGGTTTTGTTTCCAGAGAGATCATGATTTGTCCAAACATAACTGTAGTGAGATTTAATCATAATAGTTTTGATACTCTGTAGAGGATTTTGAGTCGCAGTGGGAGATTTGCCTCATCATTTGCATTCTGCTTACCCTTAGAAGAGCTGTAATCATCAGTGTGAGCATTAGAACTGCTAAAGATAGCGTAGCACATCCTCTTGTGATGTGCTAATATCAGGAAGATGTTTGAAATGATTAGAAATTAGAACCTGGTCTGTAATGAAAAGTTTCACAGCTCTTTCTCCGTAGAGTTGCACTAATTAGTGCATTTTTCAAGCCCTGCATAAAGGTCATATATTTATTTTCCATCTCATTTCCATGATTATGAAAAAGAAGAGCTCTCTGTGTCGAATGTTGCAGAGGATACTAATGATGCTTTCCTGCCATCATCATGCAACTGTAGCTTGTGACTGTGATTAATACTGATCAGTCTTGCTCTTTCCCTTGCAGGCAATACAAGCAGCTATCAGCCAAGCATTTAAAACTCCAGAAGTGATTAGAATGTTTGCAAAGAAACAACCAAGGCAATTGAGGACAAGGTTGGCAGAGGTGAATGTTTCTGTTTTACTGTTTCTTTGAGCTAAACTAACTGATTTAAATATATACTGATTGCATGGAGAGCACCAAGTGTGTTAGAAAACTTGGTCACAGCATCAGAAGAGAGCTTCTCTTTCAGAATGTATTCAGTTTTAAATATTTATCGAGGTAACAGGGACAACAGTGCAGGTATAATGCTAACAGATGACCTTACAGGGTGGTGCATTTCTCATGCTGTTGCCTTGAGTGAAACTGGGGGATGCTCATGTAACCTGACTTATTTCCTTGCCCTGGTATACAGATGGACCGGGACTTAATGGTTGGAAAGTTGGGACGAGACCTATACACACAGCAGAAAGTGGAAATTCTGACTGCTCTCAGAAAGCTTGGTGAGAAGGTAAGCTTATGGTATGAGTTAGGTGAATAGAGATGTCTAGATATACGTTGAAGAGGAATTTGAAATCATTAAAATAAGAAATCACGACTTCAGTTCATGAGCAAATGATAAAATACAGTTTCTGTGGTATATAAATCTTCTATTTTAATGCTAGGCTTTCTGAAGCACTCGCTGCTGAACAGGTATCACAGAGTATTGTACATTTATATAAGGCTGTTTGTACTTAAAAGTGCTTTCTTTGGTGGGTCATATGAGTGAATCACATGGAAGCTGGTACAAGTTGAAGGTATTCATAAAAGACAAAACAAGTGCTTTACTGACTAACTGCCACCCATCCACCTGGCAGGCACTATATGAGACTTTTGAATACATTGAGCTTAATTTTGTGTTGGTGATTATACCTACCTCTTGGTGTAAGGTAAATAAATTGGAAAGGTGAGTGATGAACTGATTGCTTCTCCGATGAGTACCTCGGTGGCAGAACAATCCCTGGTTGTTACCACTAGAGGGAGGAAGAGTTGTTGTCACTCGTTTTTGTTGGTGTGTGAAGAGAACAGGTTGCTGTGTATGTCTGTGCTTAACTTTTGTAGGAAATGAGGGAATGTAATGGAAAAGATCAAGTGCAGTATGTAAAGAAGCTGTATTCCAAGTAGGTGATATTAGCAAATAGGTTAGAAGGCTAGTTAAGATTGTGAACTGAATGTGTGAAGATACCTAATCCTCTTGGCATGAGTTTCTTGGATTGCTTCAGATAAGCCACTTCACCACACTTTGACACAACCTCTTTATCTTTTGAAACTATCAGTAACCTACTTCACAGAGAACTTGCTAGGATAGGAGTTCCACATCTGTTTGAATTTGACCACTGATGGTAAATGTTACATGTTTGTCTGCACAAGCCTGGGAAATGTTAAGTAGTTTGAAGCTTGCTTTCAAAGCCCAGCAGAGGCAGGGAGTTGGTGCTTTTCTCTTCATTCCAACATCATTCTGAATGCCTGTATCTGATTTCTATATTTTTCATAAACAAACTGACATACACACACTTGTGAACAGTTTGACACACTTGTCCTTTGCTTGAATAAGGATATGTATCTGACACTACTTAAAACTTCTTCATTTAACTTGGAATATCTGAACCTGCCAAATGTAGGTTACTACTTCATTATTGTAAATATTTTATGGGCATCTTGTCACGAGGCATTGAGCATATACATAAAAGCAAAATATGCATGTGCAAATGTCCCTTTAAAGGAAGAGAACCATTTCTAGGTCATGGACTCTTAACACGGTCAAAGCTGGTGGTGGCTGCAGTTTGGCTTTCCTCAGTACATGGTATGAAGTGAGCTTAGATCTTAGCTCAT